TGTCCCGGAGCCTGGCGGTCGCGGGCCCGTTGTGGGCCCGTCTCCACCTCCTCGAGGCTGCGCCTGGAGCTTGCCAGGCAGCTCTCGCTGCACTCTTGTCTCAGAGCCAGGGACGGGCTCTGGAGCCTCGCTGGTGGGTGGACAGGAGAGCCGGCACTCAGCTGGAACCTGGCGTTTGCTTGGGGCTGGGCTGCTGCTGCCCTGGGCACGGCTCTTGGGCTTATCCCCTAAGCCATTGCTTTGCGGAGTGAAGGGACAGCGTTTATACTGATGGGGACACAGGAGGTCAGTGGTCACCTCCCCGGGGAGCTGGACTGACCCCCACAGCAACAGGCAGGCTCCCCCCTGCCCCATGTGGCCCCTGAGCCCACTCTCTGGCAGCCGAGGGCCCACCTACACCCACAGGGATGTCCTTCCCTGCAGAAGTGGGGGGCACAGATGGCAGGCTGCCCTGGCTTCAGGGACCCCAGGTGGGCAAGGCATCCAATCCCCTTCCGTGATAGGGGCACAAGAGGGCTTGTCTGCCCTGAAGCCAGCGCTGAGGGAGCTGGACGGGTCCTGATCTCCCAAGACGCCACTAGGAGACCCCAGCCCACTTGTCCCCCAATGCCCCTCAGCCCCCGTCCCAGGGACAGGTCAGCATGTCCGGCTGGGTGTCAGCTCATCAGAGGAAAGACAGCTCATACTGCTCAGGGCCAAGGGCTCTGAGGCCCGGGGACCCCTTGCTCACGGGCTCAGCCCGAGCTCCACTTCCCTTGCTTTTCCTGGACTTGGAGTTACCGAGGGTGTGAGGCCCTTAGGGCCTGTTGTGTCCCTTGATGGTCAGGGGGTCTTCCTCTGCAGGGTTAGGGTGTGAGGCCCCAGCTTCCTTGGCAAAGTGGGCTCAGACCTACTCCTTCTCAGGTCTGCGCCCCCCCCACACCCCCGTTTCCAGCTACACTCTTCCTGGCTACCATGGTGGGGTGAGATAGGGCTCTCTCCAGATCCTGGTGCCTGGGGTAACTCCAGGGGGGCTTGTGAGGGGCCCAGGGTGTGTGGCATGGGGACAGGAAGTGTCCTGTGACTCAGACTGTGATGTTCCCTACTGTCCCTGGGGGACGGGGCTATGAGGACCCCCAGATGGGCCCCCAGGAGCCAGTCACTGGAGGCAGCCAGTCACTGGAGGCAGCCAGCTTGGAAACGAGGGGCAACCCTGTTTCCAACGGACCCTTCCATCAAGGATCACCTTTGAATTTGTGAGAGCTGGCTGGGGTCCTCTGATGGGCCACCCAGACTCCTGAGTGCTGGCCGGGGAGGTCCCTGCAGGTGGCCTGGGAGTCATTCGGTCCTCCCAGAGGCAAGGTCTTGAGTGGGGGGTCCTAGGGCTTCGTGGTCAAAACTGCAGTGGCCAGAACCAAGCTGCAGGTCTGGCCCCTCAGACTCGATGTTCCAGGAAGCCCTTGCTAGTTTCCTTTGTACAAATGCCCCAAAAACTAACTCTAGGCTTTTACGAGCCAAGCTGTGATGCTGTAAGCCTCACCCCTTTCAAACCATCGCGGTCTGGGGTCTTAAGGTTCACCGGCTTTGATGCACCGGACCTGGCTATCTGTCCCAGACCCTCTCCAGCAGCTCCTTCTCGCTTTCCCGGCCTCTATTGTTTTCATCCATAAAATGGACCCAGTGGTATCCATTTCTCCAACCAGTGAGATCCAGATAGAAAGCACTTCAGCCTGCCTGCAGGGGGCTCTCTGAGCCCAGACCAGCCAGGCGCTGCCGCGGGTGCTGGGGAGAGGCTCTTTGAGGGAAGCAGGCCCGAGGTGTTCAGTGGAGGGTCAGGCACTTGGTGGCTGTCAGTAGAGAGCTGGGGGCAGGGATTCCTGGATGGGGGGCGGGCACAGCGGGCAAGGGCGTGGCATTGGGGCGGCCATCCTCAACCTGGCCCCTCCCGGCCCCCAGTACTCTCCGCTGTTGAAGAAGCTCTACTGCCAAATCGCCAAGACCTGCCCCGTCCAGATCAAGGTGTCCACTCCGCCGCCCCCGGGCACCGCCATCCGCGCCATGCCCGTCTACAAGAAGGCGGAGCACGTGACCGAGGTCGTGAAGCGCTGCCCCAACCACGAGCTGGGGCGGGACTTCAACGAAGGTGAGGGCCCTGACCCCCCATCCAGTGTCCCAGCCCGGAGGGGAGGGCTGGCACGAGGCCTCCTACCTGGGAGGCAGCAGGTCCGACGGGAGGGGGCTCACCTCTAGGGCTCAGCACGCCCCTCCCCAGCCCCATGTCCTGGCCTGAAGTGCCAGTGACTACAGGTGAGCGGGAGCAGGGCTGCTGGGCCAGGCCCC